GTGGTTGGTGTAGAGATATTGAGGTGAAAAGGAGTGGGGGGGGGGGGGGTATTTTGGCTTGGTGAATTAAAACTCGCATTATTATTGTTTTATTTAATTGTATTTTGTATAAGGCGTTGGAGGGGCGGGGGGGGGGGGGTTAGGGAGTTTAGGGAGAAGAAGTGGAGAGAGGACAAATTAAGAGGACACATTCAGAGGACACATCTCCCTTGTCGATTACAATCTGATGCTAAACCTGATGTCAGCAACTGTTTGGGTTAAGGTTAGTTGGAGCTAGAGTCAAGGCTAGTGTAAGAGATTAGGTTCGGTAAGTATTAGCGCATCTAAAACAGAACCAGGTGCATCGCTGTAGCTTTACAAACGCCATCATAGGACCGTGACATGTGGTACAGTATTGACGCGTGGTACAGTATTGATGTGTGGTACAGCATTGACGTGTGGTACAGCATTGATGTGTGGTACATCAGTGACGTGTGGTGACGTGTAGTACTGTATTGACGCGTGGTACAGTATTGATGTGTGGTACAGCATTGACGTGTGGTGACGTGTGGTACAGCATTGACGTGTGGTACAGTATTGACGTGTGGTACAGTATTGATGTGTGGTACAGCATTGATGTGTGGTACAGCATTGATGTGTGGTACATCAGTGACGTGTGGTGACGTGTGGTACAGCATTGACGTGTGGTACAGTATTGACGTGTGGTACAGTATTGATGTGTGGTACAGCATTGATATGTGGTAGAGCATTGATGTGTGGTACATCAGTGACGTGTGGTGACGTGTAGTACTGTATTGACGTGTGGTATAGCATTGGCGTGTGGTACAGTATTGACGCGTGGTACAGTATTGATGTGTGGTACAGCATTGATGTGTGGTACAACATTGACGTGTGGTGACGTGTGGTACAGTATTGACGCGTGGTACAGTATTGATGTGTGGTACAGCATTGATGTGTGGTACAACATTGACGTGTGGTGACGTGTGGTACAGTATTGACGTGTGGTACATTATTGATGTGTTGTACAGCATTGATGTGTGGTACATCAGTGACGTGTGGTGACGTGTAGTACTGTATTGACGTGTGGTATAGCATTGGCGTGTGGTACAGCATTGGCGTGTGGTACAGCATTGATGTGTGGTACAGTACAGTATTGACGTGTGGTACAGCATTGACGTGTGGTGACGTGTGGTACAGCATTGACGTGTGGTACAGTATTGATGTGTGGTACAGCATTGATGTGTGGTACAGCATTGATGTGTGGTACATCAGTGACGTGTGGTGACGTGTAGTACTGTATTGACGTGTGGTATAGCATTGGCGTGTGGTACAGCATTGGCGTGTGGTACAGCATTGATGTGTGGTACAGCATTGATGTGTGGTACATCAGTGACGTGTGGTAACGTGTGGTACTGTATTGACGTGTGGTGACGTGTGGTACAGTATTGACGTGTGGTACAGCATTGACGTGTGGTACAGTATTGTCGTGTGGCACAGCATTGACGTGTGTTGACGTGTGGTACAGCATTGACGTGTGGTACAGTATCGACGTGTGGTGACGTGTGGTGACGTATGGTACAACATTGATGTGTGGTACAGTATTATACACGAGCCAACAGTAGTGTCCCACTAACCTAGCACGGGGTTATGGGACTGATCAATACATACATAGGACTAGGGTTAGGTTTATGAAATTGGGTCGAGTGAATTAGCTTACACTATCCAATGTGCGAGTTCTTTTGTTTGGAATCGAGTAGAATACCTAGGAAAAGTAAGAAATACGACCCATTCTATATCATCTAGTCGTGAAGATGGGTACCTTAGAGGGAGGGGGCATAAATTGGCAGGGGGTAATTGATCGGTTGGTGTGTGTGTGGGGGGCGAGGGGTAGTAGCAGGCGGTTGTGACATGGGGGTTATGTCTTAGACGTGACACAGCCCTGATGCAACCCCTGTCACTCCACTCCCTTGATATGACCCCTGTCATCCCACTTCCCTGATATGACCCCTGTCATCCAACTCCCCGGATATGACCCCTGTCATTCCACTCCCCGGATATGACCCCTGCCACCCCACTCCCTTCATATGACTCTGCCACCCCACTCCCTTCATATGACCCCTGTCATTCCACTCCCTTGATGCGACCCCTGTCTCCCACTCCTTTGCATATAAACAGACCCCTTTTTTCCCGTATTCAGCTTTAAAACTTAAGTCCAAACAACCATCGTAAATTTCTCTCCAACACGCCCGTAAATGACAAACATGACATTGAGCTTATATGTCAATTATGACATTCGGTTTAAATGTCAATTCCCACGTTTTCCCCGTGTCTGTTAAATCACCCAGCGTAAAAGTGAACCCGGTTCGCGAGTTGTTCATGTCCGCCCTTGCGTTCCCTAAGTCGCCCTCCTTGCACACATGCGATAAGTAACGGTTGGCGGCCTCCGGATACTCGTCAACTCTGTACATAATTAATATGCAGACCGCGGGAACACCTGGGCCCCGGTGACGTGGTACACATTTGCTTAGACAAAGACCAATTTGTTCTCATCATTTTACAACTCAGACATATTTCGATATATATATATATATATATATATATATATATATATATATATATATATATATATATATATATATATATATATATATATATATATATATATATATATATATATATATATATATATATATATATATATATATATATATATATATATATATATATATATATATGTATATATATATATATATATATATATATATATATATATATAAATATACATAGATATATATACATATGTACGTATATATATATATATATATATATATATATATATATATATATATATATATATATATATATATATATATATATGCGTGTGTACATATGTACATGTATATGTTATGGATGGATGGATGTGTTTTATGCATACATGTATACTAAGTGTGTGCACTTATTTATACGTATCTAAGCTTGTTAAGATATGTGTACATGTATTTGTATTATGGTATACTTGCATACACATATACGTAGTTTTTCTAAGCACGCAATATTGCATACTGAAATGTGAACAGAATCCCCAAAAATTTTGGTTTTCTATGTGTCCTGAGAAATTATTTCCAATTCGACCTTTTTATTCATGTGATGCATATATCTTAATTTGTAATTTAAAACTTGTTTAAATTAGCTACGATGTCGCGAATTAATGTATATTATAAGAAACTTTATTTTCTTAATTTGTTATTTTCAACACGGAAGTGAAACAGGTTATGTAACGTTTATGGATTATTAACTGAATACCCTCGAGGTAAAATTAAACCGGAAAAAACTATAACGGTAATACATTCAGATATACTATTGTAACGACAATCATTTAATTGGTAGTTAATTAAAAGAAAAAAAAAACAATGATCGTTTTTTTTTTAAATTTCAGTTTGATGTAAGATTTCTAATAGATTCAGTTTTATGAAAGAGGTCAAATAGAAGTCTGAATCTTATAATATATTTATTCCCATCCGTTATTCAAACCGCCCAACCCCCCCCCCCCCCCTCAGCACTAACCCTACCTCACCAACCATCACCAAAACTTGGGGTCACTAGCAACCAGAGAAAAACCAGGTCCTGATTTCTTAAGGGAGATAAATCCGGTGTTAACTTATTAATATGTTTGAGATTCACTATACACTCGCTCGAACAGAGATCTTTAAATCTCACACCCCCCCTCCCCCTCACCACACACCCAGTCTTCCCCACACCTGCGCTACACTAGGCAGAAGAGTAAGCAGCCTCCCCCCCCCCCCACCCCTGCCCCTCAAGCATAACTCTTCACCCCCCAAGCCTTGCAAAAAAAATGTTTTGAATCAAATGAATGTTATCTGCTATCACCATCAAGCAGACGATCACACCGGCATACTTTCTTCGCGCGTGAACCACTGTCAACTTCCGCCCGATCACTGACATCGTCTGCAACAAGACACCCCCCCCCCCCCCCAAACATCGGGCACCCGAACTTTCTCCAGGCCCTTCTCACATCACCACCACTGTGGGCATATCAATCACGGGCATATTAATCACGGGCATATCACTGATGAGAATATCAGCGATGCCTCGATAGGACCTCCGGTGATGGGATTATTAATGATGTCTTGAGTTTAAGCCTATTCACTGTGCTTGTCTTATGTTCTCAAAACTTTCCTCTTGAAAGTTATTAATAGATTGTTTATAAACGCACATTGGGAAAACCCGAACTGATGATTTATTTCCTATCGTACAGTCAGGGAATTTCAAGCTTCGTCTTAGTTTCTTATGCATCACCCTCCCACTCCCTTTCTCTACCTGTCTCTCATTCCCTTTCTCTTTCTCTCTTGCTCTCTTTCGCTCTCTACTATTTCTTTTTTTTCTCTAGCCTACATAGTTTTAAGTAGGTCGCTTCGATGACAAATATAGACATATTATCTGAGATAAAGTGCACCTATTTCAATGAGTATGTATCAGGTATCCGTATTAAGACTTGGAGTCGGAATAAAGATGTATCGGTTGGGGTCAAGATTAGACACTTTAGCCGTAGGTAGTTTTTATTATTATTATCATTTATTTTTATTTAAAAAAGAAATATTTTTTCCTGCGAAATAATGATAATCATTTTATACGATTGACCAACTTTCTTAACACAAACATCAGAACGTTGTTTTGAGGGTTGATATGACAAAGTAAATATCAGATTTATAGGTAGATGGTTTGAAATGTTGAAATGACATACATCAGATTTATCTGGGTGTGGTTTTAGAGGTTTAGGTGACATACACAACATGGGATTTATCGGAATGTGGTTTTAAGGTTGTTATGACATTCAAAACATGACATTTATCGGAGTATAGTTACAATGTTGATATAACATACAAAACATGAGATTTTTCGAAGTTTGGTTTAAATGTTGATACAACATACAAAACATCATAACTACCAATGAATGATTGACATGATGACGTAAGACTTACCGGAAGAGGACGAGTCTGACTGCGCACTCGAACAGTTGAGGTCCCTGCCGGGTAGGGGCGGCAACCCAGCGCCCATGTCTGTGTAGAAGCCGCCATTGGGGTACGCCGTGGGGTGGCTGGGCTGGTACATGTCGCCGTAGAGTCCGTGGTGGTACCCCCGCATGCCGTTGAGGCTCCCGAGGGAGGAGATCTGCATCTGACGGCAGTTGTTCAGGTAGTCGCCCCCAGCGAAGGCGTTGTAGGCCGCGGCTTTGCTGGGGAAGGACGCGCTCAGCGGGAGGTTGGAGTAGCTCGGGACAGAACAGCTGTTGTGGGGGACGAGCGACTCGTTGCCGTAGTTCCCCCAGCCGTTTTGTCCGGAGACGGCCAAGGCGGACCGAGCTGAGACTGAGTCCTGTGCCCCGGGACTGGGGGGGAGGATGCTGGAAGCCGTGATGGACGGGTAGAGGGACAACCCCGCCGAGTGGGACAGGAAGTTGCTGTGCGGTTCCATCCTCATAAAGCTCGTCAGGTCGTGGGACAACAGTTTCAGGGGTTGGCGAGGTGCTACTGAGCGGGGTGCTCACTCAAGTAGCCAGAGTTCGAATCCCGATTTATTTTATTTTCTTTATAAAATTCAAAAATGTTTATTTATTTATATTATTTTAATTATAAAATTCTGTCACTTCCGGGACGACCGGACATGCGCAGTAGACATCAAGCTGTTACGTTATACCAAAGAACATTTCAGTAAGTTAAACAATTTCCAATCGCGCACAAAAAAAAAAACTTTTTTTTTCTCCAAATGAACGTTCCGTGAAGTAAAACAGGTGTAATGCCCCCACTAGACGTTAGGTCTCTTTCATCATTGCGGAGACAACTTTTTTTTTCTTCTTTTTTAACCTAAGGCCCTTTAAGAACTTAAGCCAAACCCGAATCAGCGTTGAACCTGTGACCTTTGACCTGTCATTCCACCACCATTAGGCCCTGTCGATCGTTTAATTCTGCCTTGATGTTGCTTCACACCTGTGCCCTCGACTCGCCTGCGGCCACAGACCTGAGGGGAGGGGAGAGGAAAAAAATTTCAAAAACTGAAGGTGGAAATTCGAACCAGCTGAAACACATGCATGAATTCCTAAATACAAGGTCGGGGACTGTCTGGGTTGTAGTGTATCAATAGGTGAACAGGTGATACACAAGGTAGGATGTTGTTTCAACGGTGAAAATATTTAATACTAGCTGTGGTGAGCGGACGTGAACGATGAAGGAATAATAGCATGATTAAGTTGATGTCGAAAGTTATAAATGAGATTACGACCATCAGGAAATATTTTTATAGAGACTATTTTGTTGACAGATTGTACGGTTTAGCAATTAGTTATAGGTGCGAAAATATCTTAACATATATGGGCATATATACATACATATATATATATATATATATATATATATATATATATATATATATATATATATATATATATATATATATACATCGTTTAATAGAAATCGTGTATTTGGTTCAAATATCTATGGCATAAGTACACTCTTTTACTAAGTGGGCTACTCTCTGTAGTTGACCAAAGTCGTGGATTCTTGGTAAGTTTATACGAGTAAGGACTAGAGGCGTAGAGTTTTGAGTAGAAAAAACAAAACGAACATTCATTTAGTAATAGCACAACTCAACATCAGAACTACATTAAAGCAGTTAATTTCTACGCCCACATTGTGCCTCGGTGGTTTACCGTGTTGCTTTCCCAGGCTTGCGTAGAACACACTGTGTGGGGAACACATAGTGTGGGGAACACACTGTGTGGGTAACACAACCATAAGGACCTCACACGAGCTTCCTCTCTTGATCCCTCCAGAGATCCGCAATTCTAAAGCCTGGGATCGAGATTCCCGGTCCCCGCGATCCCTTTGTGCGCCTTTATTTTTCTAACACCTCCATGCTTTGCCGGGTCCCACGCAAGATGGCTCCCCGATAAGGGCCCTCACCGGCCCACACCAGCACACATACAGCGCCACCTTGCGACTGACGTGGGCATTGCGCTAAACTTAATGAGACATAACGGAGCTAGCGAGGACTGGGAGAAATCCGAACCGGGGCTTCTCGATGGACGAGTCTGATGAAAGATTCTTTTAAAATGTTGAAGATCTTTAAAGTGCGGTCTAAATGCTTCACGTTCTGTTAACATATTTTCAATATTTTTACCTCACATACGACTTATATGTAGCGGTGTGTATCAATATACCAGTATGTGTAGGATAAAGATATTATTAGAAAATTAACACTCACTTATACACACACATATATATATATATATATATATATATATATATATATATATATATATATATATATATATATATATATATATATATATATATATATATATAATCCAGGTGTGCCGGATGCTGAGATCTAGGAATTCACATACATACCAGTCTTCATGTTAGTGGAGTGTGAATATTCCCACCCCCCACCCTCTCACACCCACACACACCTGTGTGGTCCGCCCCGTATAACAAAGTTGAGTGCAGTGAAGCCACCAATAACAGACTGAGATCACAAAACTTCACCGAGTTCCTACACACATCGATAACACGATTCTCGGTTAAATTAGAATATAGGCCTACACTTCTTTTATGTTCAACTTCAAAACCTAAACCATTAGTCTAATTTTAATGAATCGTAACTGCACGTAATAGATTTTTTTCTCTTAAATCCTTTTTTATAGAAATAAAATAGTTGTATAATATTTATATTAACTATTATAAATTGTAGACTTACACAGTTGTGTTTTTAAAAAAAAATTTGAATAGTTAACACACACACACACACACACACACACATACATACATACACAAGGATGGTATGCTTTTTAGTGTAGAAGAAAGCAGAGATACTTATCACAACACCTGGGCTCCATCTTACATATAGTTATATACATATCTCAGCCCCCCCCCCCTAACGCACCCTCGTGCTACGCTGCGCCATCTGAGAGACAGAAAAAAAAACGGCTACAGAAAAAGAAAATCTCTACAATAACTGGTACCACCTCCACAGTCCAGTGGCGTTGCTTTCTTCGTCCAGCAGGTCTGCTGTCGCGGTCAATTAGCGTCGATGACGTCGCGAGATATCCTCTACGCTTTCATTAGGGCGCCTAGTTGTTGTTGACTCAATTACGCCGTCAAATTGTAGCTTTTGTACGCACGAGCGTGGAGCCATAAATGTTATAGCTTTGATTTTCTTTTAATGTAACATTTTTTTTTTAGTTTTGTTAAACGCGCGAAAAATAAGAATGAAGTTTGCAGAAGGGAAGCGGCAAGAAAAGACACACCTGGGGTTCGGGGGCAGGGAGATCACAATCATAACGAAAACTGAGGGTACCATCCTCGTCTTTATCGTCTGTTTAGTGTTCATTTACATATATATGAGATATTTTTTTTTCTTTTTAAACTATTTTTCTCGGGTGAAGAGGAGTCGAGGAACAATTAGCCGTGTTCATTAACTGTGCGAGACACCGTGTTTGCCTTGTGTGGCAGACAACAAAAGACCCGTGCGTCGTGACGGGAAAAAGCTGCTAGTATTTGACCGCGGAGGGAGGCTCCCGTTTCATCGACGGGGCTCGAATTGTGCGCCCGGCGATTGTGTTTTTCACAGTTTCTTAAACGTGCTTTTTCGCAGTTTCTTAAATTTGCGTTATATTGTTATCAAATTAGGAATCTGAGAGATACTAAATTGTGTATAATGCAGTACAAATAGTGTATAATACAGTCAAAACTGAATGTTGCAGTATAAAAATCTGTATATTGCAATACAAATAGTTTATGTCATAATACAAATTCGGCTTTTTTTGTTACAAAATGCGTATATTGCAGTAAAATTGTGCATTTTACCGTACAAATTGTGTACATTGCAGTAAAAGGTATGCTACATGTATATAAATTACATCTATTACAAAACACTCAACCAGCATCTATAAGTTGAAAAACTTGGGATATTCCCATCTGTAGGAGCTAGTCTATTGCCCACGTGACTATCCGTAATTGACATCTGCAGCTGTAGCTGCATCATACAGATGCAGCTGTGTTATCTGTATGTACCTGGCCTATACAGCTATAGCCGGGCCATCTGTATGCGACATGTCGTATCGTAACAGCTGTAGCTCTTTGTTATCTGCATGTATTAGATTTATACAGCTATAGCTACGCCATATGTATACGACAACGGTGTCACCTACTTGTATCAGACCTATACAGCTATAGCCAAGCCATCTATAAACGACATAGTTTAACAGCTGTAGCTGTGTTATCAACATATATCAAGCCTTCAGAGCTGTGCCATCTATACACACTGTTCCCCAACAGCTGTAGTATTGCCATTTCCCTCTAGCCGTATTATAATGAATTATTCCTTAATAAAAATGTCAAACCTGATCATAAACCTATCATCACATGTTTACCTTTATCCAAAATATCAACTCCGTTAGCACTAAACCCATACACAATTTCCCATATAATTTTACTCTTAGCCTAATCTCTAGCTCTAACCTTTAACCTTACAAACTTGTAACTCGGAATATGCCAGCTTTTTGTGATTATATTAGCTCAAGATTCATTGTTTATAGTAATACAACAAAATCATCAAAATTTTAGTTCATGTTTATATGGTCAAATACAGGTGAACTCTACTTAACTTGCCTCATGGAACGACAGGTTCGAAAAGGGGAATTTTACAGCATCAAATTATTTTCAAACTACATGGACCTATTATCAAGATTTAAACGTATTATCTATTTATTTTTATGTTTTGGCAGATTTTTTTTAAAAAACAGAAACCCGAAACTGTCATAACTATCATCAGACTTCCTTAACGTGTACTCAAATCTTTGCTTTCACTCACTAATTGTACTGTGTGCATTATTCAACTGAGCAGCATATCAACAAAATTACCCTTGTCACTTCACATCCCAACACCATCAAATAAATTACCCAAACCAATGTTTAAATGTAACTTCCTAACAAAAGCGCCGATCATGCCTTTATCTGCAGAGGTCAAGAAACATTTGAATTCTACTTCATCTGTCCAATAGATCGTTAGGTCTAAAGAGGATTCTTTTATGATATAAGCACTAACTAATCTATAGCTGCATTTCTTTATTTATATAGATTGTATGGCGTATAATTTAATACAAAAGTAATACAGAATGTGACACTGTTCGCGCTTATCCTAGTACAAGTCTGCACCTCTCAAGACTTGCGCGCCTCCCAGTTCGAAAAGGACCTCTGTACTAACAAGCAGCAAATTCTTGGAATGGCTCATCCTGAAACTGGATCGAATTCTGCTGGGTTTGGGCAAGGTTTACACAAAGCCTTGGTATTCGAATACGCATACGTTGTTGTTATCACCACTACAGATCTAGACGAAGTAATCGTAGGTTAAAATATCTGCCGTTGTGATTATAATGGATTGTATATTTAGTCGATAGCGGGGTAATTTTAATAGGGGGAATGTCTTTACCCTAACCCTATAATGTTTTCTTAAATTAATTGGGGGTATCGAAAAAAAATCATCATTGTTGGCATAAAAATTAATATTTTTTATCTTAATAAATAAAGGAGAATAACTCAGTTTTCTACTAGTTTGTATCAACTTAAATTTGTTAGACAACAAACACCATGTAAAACTAAAACAATTTAAAGTGATCTCCCTTGTCAAAAAAAAAACCGTTGGCTGTTTATGCCCTAAACACTGCAGTCACTGGAGTGAATCCAGCGGATAAGTAATTTTCAATACCTCTTATACTAGCAATATAACCTTACCATTACACATATACACACACTTACACATGCTCAAATACACATATACACACACAAACACGCACACATACTTCACTGCTGCAGACTATTCATTAAAACAAAAACAAAAATGCCACTCATCCTGTGAAGAATTGAAATACAAATTGTTCAATAACCCCACACCCCTCCCCCACCCCCGTCTCCACTCGACAATTTGTTGATGTATAATTTACCTCCCCTAACAAGACGTCA